GTTTTTATCTCTGAATTCTATCCCATCAGGATAAGTACATTCATGACACTAATTAATATACGGGGTCTTTATTTCCCTTTGGTTGTTACCTTTACACTACCTAGACAAACTTAGGAATGAAAGAGCACAGACGTCCTTCAGTGAGTCTGCTCCCTTGACTTGCAGTGTTTTTTAGCATTTACTCCATCACAAGGCACTAAGAACATGTCTTTCCTCTAAAACTCACTCATGATCCATGAAAATTTTATATCAAAATTACTTATTGAAGGGCTCAATACTGAAGCAGCTATCTAGTTCAGAAGTATTGCTTTATGAGCTCTATTCCTTTTTTTAGTCACTTCCATTAGTTTATGAAACCTTTACTCTCCACAGCTTCTCCCTGAAAAAAAAAATCTTAAAAAAAGGGTTTTTTTGGTTTTTTTTTTTCCCTACAAAGCTAGGATACAAATAGGAAAACCATCTTCTCTTTCCAATCTTAAAGATTATGATATTAAAAATGCTCTCTTTTCTTCTGCGCACAGAGAAAGAGCTCCAATATGGGAAATGTATAGATAGATGCAGCACTCTAGTTGTGCAGCTATTTGGTGCCTTGTCCCTTTTAAAGGGATTGTGCTAGCACAAGAGGATAAAAAATTACTTAGCGGAGGCAACAAGCAAGAGAACAGCAGAGGAAGAGCCACAGGATGATACTGTGTTGGGGGAGGAGGCAGAGTTCTCTAAAGGAGGCTGTAATTATTCTGGCAAAGGAGAAACTAAATGAGAAGAATTGCAGAAACAATGCAAATGAATGGGTGCAGAGCTTAGCTCTGCGTAATGTGGACAGTACTTAAAAATGAATCTGAAAAAAATACTTTAGATCTAAGATGTTGCTTAAGAAAACGTCCAAGGACTAGAGAGCTGGAGGTGTTGGTATGATTTTAGAGAGAAATTTGCAGCAGCAACAGAGAAAAGAGATGTAGAGCACTGGAGGATGAAGGCGAGCACCCAGCAGAAACAAAACATTGTGTGGCAACAAGTCAAAGAATAGCAACACGTCATACATACAGAAAAAGGAAACCAAGAAGCCAAGTATGAACAAAAATGGAATATGGTTTGTTACAGAGAGAGCAGTCTGAGAAAGATTTGCTTACAAGAGTGTGAAATGGAAGGACGGTGACACCTCTCAGCACTACTGAGACTAGGCAGAAAACCTAGAGCAAAGGGAGAAAGGACTGATGAAGGAAAAAGCTGTGTGCTAGAGGTCAAGAAGTCAAGTCAAAATTGAGAATAACCAAAAATTAAGCAGGTTAGAACTTGCGGGTTTTGTTGTTGTTGGTTGGTTGGTTGGTTTGGGTTTTTTTGGGTGGGAGAGGAAGTGTTGGTGGTGTTGTAAATAGTGAGAGATTCTTCAAACAATCCAGGACTCTGAAAGGGATGGATATAAAGTTCTGGCAGGGGAGCACAGTGAAGTATGACTCACCAGTGTGATACAGTCATGAAGAAAAGAGTGCCACTATCTAGTTCCTTATTTCCCATGAAAGGTGAAAATACTAGCACCAGTTTATAAACTCTTCATGAGATCTCAGTACGTTGTACACTTCAGGGCACTTGTTCCCAAGAACAGTGGAGCAGATGAGGATTCATAGAATCATAGAATCAACTAGGCTGGAAAAGACCTTTAAGATCACCAAGTCCAACCTTTACCCCATGTTTGATCCTGTGTAGAACTATCCTATGAGACATGCAACTGCTCTAGGCTGTTGCACGAGGTAAGCAATCCAGCATGTGCCCCAATTTCTTGTTAAAAAAAAAAAAATTACTCATAATAAGTAAATATTTTAAAAAAAGTACTACTGTGGCTTAGATTTTACTCAGTGGTGTCTGCTTTCAAAGTGCTTAATTTTAACTTCATTACATAAAACAAGAGTATTCCTTTCCCAGATAGATTATAATGTGTATCATATCTCTTATCTGTATTTCAGAATAGCATGTGCTCACTGACAAAGGTTTTAATCCTTAACTTAGATGTTATCAGAACAAAAGCTACAGATGAAAATGTGTATGTGTTTGAGTATGAGCTGCTTGCTTCCTTGTCCAAAGTTCAAGCTTCTATAAAACAAGGGTATCAGAGATATAATGAAGACTGGGACAAACTGGTTAATGATTAAACAGAGTAAGAAAAGAAAAAAATGACACTAGCCAAAGAAAATATTTACATTACAACAATATGTGTTCAAGGCAGGAGAATAATTTGCCCAAACATGTAAGTGAGCTAACAATTCTTATGTTGTTGGGTACAGTTTGGATGAACTAATTAAGATATTTATTTAAAGAATGGCCCTAATTTGTTGAAAGGAATGCATCAGCTGATCTATTTGATGTCAAGAACCTCTTTCTCTGTAAACAAATGCAATACCCTTTAAAGTATATATTTTACAATCAGTACAAGCTCTCTGTTACTTCTAAAACTTTTATTTTAAATTAGCAGTGATTATTTCCTTACAATAAAATTGTTACCTACTGTATTTAAGAAAACCAAAGATTAAGACAGGTACATAAATCATTAAGTGTTCCATTGTCATCATGGTGAACAAGTATTAAAAAAAGGAAACAAATGACAAATTAATGATAACCCTGACCTATTATTCAATAAGTACTATAATGTATCATTTTCCTCACCTTCTACAGCATAAATTTGACAATGCATTTGGACTGGAACTCCCTCTAAAATAAGCTTTTTAAGGCCCCATAATATTAACTAGGAAACACAGACCTGGTAAGTGCTTTTGGGCCCAACATAAGTCTTTCATATTTTCATTTGTAGCCACCTCATTTGATAGAAATTAGCTTGTAAAATTATCAAAATTAATATTTTTTAAATGTTTCTAATGCATTTTAAATAATTTTGTTAAAATATTTTAAGAAATTTAAATATGGGATTAAAAACTATATACTTCAGCTGTATTCAACAAATCAGATTTTCCATTTCTTTAAATGTACCTGAGGTTTCCACATAAGGCTACTTTTGAGCTTCTAGTAAATAATTTTTTGAAAGCCATAAACAAATTTTTAATGACTGGCAAATCAAATCAAAACAGTCAGTGTGCAGATTTATACACAAGCACACAAACAAACAGAATTAACCATGAAGAATTTTAGATCAAACAATATTAAATGTGGAAATTTACAGCCTTTCTGTCATACTGTAATAAAATGATTTAGCTCATACTTTGGGTAACAGCACAACATTATCGCTACTGAAATGGTTCAAAAAATAGATGAGATAATTACTTGCTGTGGTCTTATTGTAATTTAGATTATCTGTTTATCATTCATGTATAAACTTGTTTAACAGGTTTTGGAGAAACGTGATAAAAGGGTCTGGCACTGCTTTACCTGATAGAGTGTGGAAATTTATGTACTGATAAGGTTATTATGCTATTTCAGCTATATCTATCGGTTTTGAAAACAAAATATTTGTAATGTATTTAAAACATTTTCTATTTAAGGGAATAAAAACTCTTTTTTACAAATTTGCCAGTAGATACGGCAGCTTTCAGTAAGTTAGCTGCAAAGCTGACAATCACAGAATCATAGAATGGTTTGAGTTGGAAGGGGCCTTAAGAAAGATCATCTAGTTCCGACTGCCCTATGCAATATATAGGCAAAATATGGAATGAGCCCTCATCTCAATATATTTACGACTGCACAATGCTAGCTTTTGTTTTATTATGTTCTTTGGTCCATTTCTAAATATTCCCTTGCAAGTTAGTATGTAAATAAACTACTGCTCAAGAAATTAAGTCAGTTAATAAAAATGTGTTGTACATATGGTAAGACGTCAAACTTTAGATCAAAATACAGCTGCTAATTGTTGGTTGATTGTAGGTTGATAATTAACCTAGCTCTGTGAAGGAGCTGCAGTAGATGAAATCAAAGGGCTTGTGACTCTGGAGCAAAGGTTCACAGGCTGCGCACAGTGAAATATTTGCTGATGGTCAATGCACATCTCACAGCTCCTCCTTATTTTCAGTTGTCAGACTCCACTAACAGAATTCTTCAATGCATCACTTCCCAGTATTAGATATGCATACACTACATAAAGAAGTATAAATATATACTGTATCTGAATATTACATTTAAGATCTACACACATAACTATAGCATTAGATGTATTCAGTACATTTTCTCATAAATGCAATGACGATACTGTAAGTAATGTTATAATTGTAGGTAATTCATAGAATTTAGCTGGCAGAAGGTAACCAGGGGAAAGCTCTCTAGGGAGAAAAACAAAGCAAAAGTTCTTTAATATTGTTCCTGCATTAAATTGCAGTTGTATAGGTTGGGGAACAACCTGTTAGAGAGCAGTGTAGGGGAGAGGGAGTATAAACAGGTAAATAAAGGACAGGGACCTGCTGGAGAGAGTCCAGCGCAGGGCAACTAAGATGATTAAGGGAGAAGCCCACTCAGTGGATAGGAGTGGGTGCAAATTTTGAAACTTCTTCTCAGTGAGGGTGGCGGAACACTGGAACAGGCTGCCCAGGGAGGTTGTGGAGTCTCCTTCCCTGGAGACATTCAAATGGACACATTCCTATTGGACTAGATGATCTTTCGAGGTCCCTTCCAATCTCTAGCATACTGTAATTGTAGGTAATTCATAGAATTTAGCTGGCAGAAGGTAACCAGGGGAAAGCTCTCTAGGGAGAAAAACAAAGCAAAAGTTCTTTAATATTGTTCCTGCATTAAATTGCAGTCTGCAGTATAAACAGGTAAATAAATCGGAAGCCCAGGATGAGTTCAAATTTTGCAATGCATCTTCAGCTTCTGATTTTCCACCAACTGTTTTGTGAACTGATTATATATTTCTGCAAGCTACAAATCAGTTGGTCTTTCAATTTACACACAGGTAGTCTTGTCTTGATTGGGTGTCTTGTCAAATTGGCTAATGAAGTCAGTACTACAGAAAAATTCTATGAAATCAGATTGTGACAAGCTATCATCTTGGTTGTGTCTTTCAGAAAACACACCTGAAAAGTATTTGTCTGCAATATCAGCTGTATCTTCTTCTGAACAGCCATTTCTTTTGCCTTTTAAAGAATGAGAGGGGACTAATCATCTTCTTCCTGTGGTAACTACAAAGTCAATGTTAATTATACAGTAAATACAGTGTTATCCATAGCAGGAGGAAATCTTCCTGTACACAAAAAAGTACTTCTAAAATGCAAATAAAATCTGTAAAATTCCCACAGGGTGTAACGTAGAAATTCCATAGTAGCAGGGTGTGGAGAATTTTGAGTATAAGAGCCTTTGAAATTTGTGAGTTTTTTGTACACTTAAAAAGAACTGTAGGAATTTTACGTTAAGTAGTTGAACCCTTCTCTTGCACTACGTTCTATAAAACTGTTCTTTTCAAAAAGTCATTGACTACTTATACAGTGTGTGACTAAGATAGCGTTCTTATGAATCTATATGATTTGTCAAATATACTTGCCCTACACATTTGCATATGTATACATGTAAACAATGTAACTATAGTATCTTAATCTCTGACTCTTGTTTTCAGCATAAACATGTATACCTACTGTTTAGGCTAATAATGGTCACTGGTGTTCTTGTTCTAGTGCTTATGTACCAAAGACAGCAGCAGGTCATTGCAAGTGGGCAGAAGTTCTGAAAGATTTGGAGCAGATCAAGGCATCCAAAGTAAGTGCATAAAGAAGTCAGCATTTCATATAATCATAAGAACAGACATAATTAAATATTCGGCACTGTACTTGCCTGAGAAGTGTCAGTGATAGGGAGCAGGAAAAGGGATGGTGTTTGTCTGATGCTGTTTCATGGGTAGAAGCAAAGGACTGGAAGGGTAAAGGGAACTGGGGTTGATCAAATACTGCATAGAATTAAATATTATTTTCTTTCTCACTTTTCCTAAGAAAAGGGGCAGCGGGCTTGGAAGTTTGCTAGTTAGGAGAAAGTACTGTGGGACTCTATTCTGATGAGTCCTCCACACAGGTTACTAGGTGACTTTAAGATATCCTGACTTGCTGGCTCCCAGTACCTGGATGGATTGTGCCTTTTTACTTGGAGCTAATCCATGTCTTGCAGTTGACTTTATTATTTGTAAAACTTAGTTAATGTTCAAAATTCTAACTCTCACTTTCTTTTAGGATATTGATGTCAGTTTATATACTGCGGACACAGATGAGGATGTAAGTAAAGTCAAAATTTTACCACAACTGGTCTAATATATTAGCTTCATTTCTTCACTATAACTTACTCTTAAGGCAGCCTTGGTTATATTTGATAAAAGTTTCAGCAATCAAATAATTTGCCTTGGAAGAAACAGTTTTGTTAAGTACTTATGATAAACTATGTAAGCAGGTATTATTTTTATTGAATCACCATCTATTAAAACTAATCTATTAAAAGGGATGACCCAAAATTTTCCTAAACAAACTCTGTTAAAATAATGTTGGTGTTCATTTGTAATTTGAGGGAGGAAAAAAGTGACAAAGGAAATACTTCCAAAGATGATTATTTAACACCATGCACTATTTTATGGAATAAAATACTGGAGAAGTGGAACATGGAATAAAATACTAGAGAAGTGGAATATGGAATATATCTACCTGTGCATTTCTCATCTTTTGTCATTAGCTCAACAGCAAATACCTAGGTACTCTCAAGGATTTAGACTTCTAGTAGCTGTAGGTTATAAATTATCCTGCAAGGGATGAATTATGTTAATTTGCCAATATAATTCTTCATACAACCATAGAACCCTATGTAAAATATGATGATCTTAAAAGCAGTTTCATTCCTAAAGAGATTTTTTCATAACCTGTAGCTGTGGAACTCAGTCTGCACTCCATGGAACACATGCATCCCACCAAAAACATGAATCCAGCCAATACCCCACTCCTAGAGTTCACTTTAGGTAAAGCCCTGGTGGAACTGGCTGGATTGATTACTGTGGTAGTAGCCTGCTTCTGAGACACTGCTTTCCTGACCACAAACTTTTCACACAAGAACAGTGCCAAACAGACAATACATGAATACTTCACATAAAAAGTTAATCAAAGATTTCCTGGAAATGATGGACTGTCTACCTCAGTGCAGAACAGCCTCAGTGTGCATGCAGAACACAGTAACGCTGATGTATTCAGTGGATCTGGCAAGCCTGAGGAAGCATAGTCTGATGTGTCTGTATGGTTAGCCTTGTACATGACAGAAAAAAGGTCACAAAATATGCACATCTGTATTCACACACACATTATCTTGAGTGAACTGAGCCATTGATTCATCCATTGTAATGGCTGACTTAATAGCTGATAATGTCACAAAGTTTTTCTTATGGTCAGACAACTTATTCTTGGCTTTATTGTTGACTTGGTGGAGAAATTAGTAGTCCTGCTGCTTCTTAATTTCACTTCTCACCTACCTATTCTGAATTCAGATCTCTGAATGAAAATGTAAGAACTACAAAGAATAATACTAATTTAAATTTGCTATGTTTATTTATATCCCAAATTCCTAGCCTAATTAAATATTTTCTTATGTTCTTCACCAAGACACTACAAATCACCTCCACCTCATCTTAGCATATTGGCTGGCCTTTATGCTTAACAAATATAATCATCTTAACTAACACTAACACTCTCACAGCCAATCTTTGGAGAGACTTATAAGTATTTGAACAGTAGGAAAAGATATCCAGTAAAGAAATACCATCTACTTTGTGGTAAGTAAGTTATATCTTACATTTACTTATTTATTTTTAATAGTAAAACTTACAAATTTTTATTTTTTTTTTCCAGACAGAATGCCAAGAACCTGTAATAAGATGCTTTTTCTTGGAGACAAAAGTGATTCTTCAAGAATGTCTTATCAAAAACTGTAGTAAGACACAGGATGTATTGAACATATGGAAAAACGGAAACGCTAGCTTAGAAACTAACAAGGTAAGAAATACCAGCAGTCTATGGAAAAAAAAAAATCCAAGCAAACAAAAAATGTTTCCTCAGTAGCAGAAACACCGCTTTTGTTATATAAAAAGTGGGATTGTACAGATTAAAGCAAATAAAATTGAGTAACCTGTACATATAACAATGAAAAAGCTACACCTACAACAATGGAAATGCAGAATTTAGTATGTTTTAGAAAGACACCCATCAAAGGAAATACTTTTGACTGTGCTTGCATACATATATCAGAGTGTTTGAATCTGTATGCATACATCACAATTTGTAACTTCAGCATCTAAAGTCAGGTATGCCCAGACACATACAGAGAAATATCTTAGTTTTCAAAGGGACAGCCGCTTTTATCTCTCACTGAAATGCTGTGTTTTTGAAAGATGATTCTACTGAGAAAGCAAGCACGAAGCTGCACACATGAGTACCATGGAAGCCTCCAGCAATGCTTTCTTTAGCCATTGACTACATTGGTGTTACTCACAAGAACCAGACAAAGGGCTAGTTCTCTAGTAGAACAAATAGGTCAGTTCCCTGCTTTACTATTATGTTTTGTTTTTCAGTTGAATTCCACAACATCATCAAAATGCAAAGAATGTGAAGAGTATGAAGAAAAAAATTTTACAGAATTTATACAGAGTTTTGTAAAGGCTATACAGAAGGAATGCAAGCACTGACCAAAAGACACAAGCTGGGAAGAGGATTCCTCCACAAACATCCTCAGAGAAATTAGATTATCGCCCGCAATAAACTGGAAAGAACATCACGCACAATCTTCATTACATAGCATAACATGTAAACAAGGAATAATAAAATCCTTGTATATTGAATACATGCAAGTTATATTACTTATGTATTATAAATGAAAGGGATTTCACAGGGTTTAAAGCTTCTTCTTGACTTAAATATTCCTTAATTTTTGGTAAGTCCACAGAAAAGAAATCCTGTCTAACTTATCCACTTTTGAACAAAATTCTCTAAGATCTTAGAGTATCTGCAGTAGGAGCCTCCTTATGAACATCAGTTCAGGGCTAACTGAATGGGGTTTCGGAGAAAAGCTCTTCTAGTTATTATTATTATTATTATTATTAACATAAAATTATCATACTCTGTGGAAGGATTTGTCTATAGCTATTTCTGTTATTTGAACCTTATCCCTTTACCATCTGTGCTCCTAGAAGATCCTAGCTCATTTCTGACTTCTGTTGTTAGTCATATCTGGCAGTTTTCTTTCCCTGATATTTTTGATTTTTCTATGAATAAAGGAGGTGATCAAGACTCTTACTTAACAAAAAAAAAAAAAAATTCTATATAGTAGAACTCCTTCCTATGGTAATAGTTTGTAAATTTGGCCTCTTTTTGTGGTAAGCAGTCAGGAACCACTTTTGACCAGTTACTGGAAATCATGATAACCGTGTACCTAAGACTCTGGTAGGTCTGAAATGTTGCCCAGTCGTCTTTCAACTCTTCCTAAAGTAACTTGCTTTCTTCATGATTCATAATCATGTCACATCAGCTGCTATCCATAACAAGTAATTCTTTCCTCCAGCCACCACCAGTTCTCCATCTTCATTTGATAAATGGCTGTCATTCAGCTGTCCACTTACCAGGAAAGAAGTCTCAATCTCATTATGGCAACAAATACACTGTACTCTCTTATGTTTGGCTAAGTCCCAACAGTCAGTCTTCAGCACTCTGAGGAGCTGAATCTCCAGTAAACTACAAGAGAAAGAACATAAATGTGACCATAGTTGGTGTCACCTTCCAGGTGACTTATAGACTGATTGGTAAATTCATAAGCACATTGATATTGGGATTAAACACTGGCAGAGGTATCGCAGAAGAAATAAAAAACTTATTTGCCACTGCAAAACATCGATGAAAGGAGTGTTTATTACATAGTTTGGGTGAAGTAAGCTGGTTCTGCATTTTAATGTTTTCCTTAAAACAACAGTATGCAGTGAATATAATTTCCTGATGCCACATGCATAGACAAGGTACAAGCTGTGGTCTTTAATCAAAGATAAGCAGGGATTTTTGGTATTTCTATCTGTGAGGGAGCTTGACACACAGTCCAGCAGCATTCATGACGGGAGACATAAGCATCTCCTTTGCTAATGTAGTTTTCTTTATCATGGCCACTGTGAAAATAATTTACCTGATTAATTTTATTCTGTTTTTCATTAAATCATTTACCAGTGCAAGTATGTTATATAGTGTGAATTTGTCTTTCCAAAACAATATTGCTAAGTCTGTGACCACTCAGCTTGCCACCCTGTTAGCCACTTTTTTTGTGGACATCAGCTATATCTCTTTTATTTGATTTCATCTCTACCTGTTCCATATTCTAGAACCAAAAAAGGCCATTTGCTAATCCAGTTTTCCAGTATTTCTCCTGACTCTTTCCTTTTCCTGATAGTTAAGCTGACAACTGAAAGTTTTTCTACATCCTGACTCCTATGGTTACAAGAAATGATCTGATCAGTATAAATTATGAACTAAATTCAGGCCAGGTTGATATTTTTTTCAGAGAGGGAGTTAAAACATATCCCAGAGGAAAAGATTCTATATAACTAAGACATGCATGAGTCTGATCTGACTTGTTAGTACTTCAGGTAGAACGATAAAAACTAATTCAGGATGCCTACTTTAAAGGTAAACATCCCTAGTGTTTCTTCCACACAAGGTCTAGTCATTTTTGCAAATTTTTTGTGGCATTTACTATCTATTCTTTTCCAGCTGCTGTTAGTAAATATTAAGAAAAGATTAAAACTCAGTTTGGGACTAATGTGACTCATAGCAGTGTCTCTATGTTCAGAAAGAAAAATAGCCTTATCTTTTAACACAGAAGAGAAGAATAATGCTCTTCCACACAAGTTTTGAACTACATAATTCTGTGTTCCTGACTTTGCAATAATTTAAAATCTATTTGTCCTTTCCTTTCCTGGTGTTCAGTATCCATATTTCTGTCTCCATTTAAACTGGATAATGTAATAGCACTAGTGCAGATGATATATGACATTCACTACCTTCCTGTTATTTTGCCATACCCTGAAGATCAATACTGGTAGCTCATCAATAGAATGTCTCTGGTGTCTTCAAATATTTGAGCACCTGTTGATCAGGTACCATGCAGGTAATTTTACAGGAGATGTTTGAAAGTCCTCACAGTTTAAAGTCAGTTCTGGATCAGCATCAGTATATATATACTAGAACTATTAGCTATAATACCTCACTCCTAAAACACATAAGAGAATTTAACCAATAATTTCTGCAGTCCAGGTTTTCTTTTAAGCAGTCCATGTGTGCTTCATGACCAATAGATTTCAGTTTCAACAATATCGGACTGTCCTTTACAATTATAGGATGCAGTATGGATTATCAATTTCTTTTCCCTAGTAGACATTTGGACCTTAAAGGTAGCATTTTCCAGTTTACCCTCAATTTTTTAAAGTCAGCTAAATTTCTGACTGAGGTTATACAATGATTTACCTGTGTGGATGCATAAGCCTGTAAAAAATTAATCACTGCCTCGTTTAGTGCTCCATTTGTCCCTTCTTTAACCAACAAGATTTTAATAGGTGAGATGCCCCCATTGAGAAGCCAGCAGCCATGGGAACCTTAAGAGCAAGGAAATGGCAGGTTAATACAGACCTGCAGGTCTATAGCTGGCGGTCTGTTTTACCCAGGAGGAAACAGATGAGGTAACTCCTCATTTGACTTGAGTGATGGTATGAGTGCCTTCATCTTTTCTCCATTCAAATCCCTTTTTAAGGGACTAATATTAGTGTTCACTGATGTTAGGTCATTTGGAAATGAGAACTTTGTGAAAGCCAGACTCATTAAAGGTAGTGGAAAAAAGCAAATTCTGAACAGCAGCAAACTCTGTTGTTGGGAGCTTCACTGTTTTGGGAAAAAGTATATATTAAAAAAAAAGAGGATTCTTTGCCTGCAGAGAAGCAGCTGTGTGCTCAGGAGAAATGTCAGATTATCTCTTGTTCATATGGCTATGTAAGGAAAATAATAGGAACATAAGCTAAGATCTATTTTGGCAAAAGCTCAGAGACACAGACATTTGAGTCTGTACCCATGTACTGTGGCAGTACTTACAAAGGGGGGCAAATATTGTGTTTCTTATATATATCAACATATATATATCAGTAGCTAAGGCAGTGTTTCAGCTGCTTCGACCTTTCAACCAAACGTCCAGATCCAAAATTTAATAGAAGCCCAGGATGGCAGCTGCTCTAGAAGCTGGTACAGTGTATGTTGATTTAATCTCCTGAAAACAACAGCCTGCTCTTTCTTCATTGTTTTTCCTGCTGTAGCTTTCTAAACAGGCTCAACAGAGATTTCAATAGAGATTCCTTTTTTTTAAAAAAAAGGTTTTTTGGGGGGCTGTATTTATAGGTCTAGTTCAGCACCTCAGAAATAGTGATACTGTTACCTGCCTTAACAGAAAATGTCACTGAATTACCATTGCCCGAATGTTTTGACAGTTATATTTTTGAGTACCGCAGAACTGTTCAATTTTTCTGTACTTCTGCTTCTGACATGAAGGTGCAGCAGATAATAGGGATTCAAGTGGCTACTCTGAAACAACAATATTAACATCTTCTCACACCAGAGGACCAGTGAATGTTTCCACAAGTATCACCTATTTTGCAAAGTGAGTTAAAGGACATCTGCATTTACACAAAAAGCTACTTTTTTTTACGTTTATGGCCTCCAGGAAAACTGATTGGAACAAAGGTGTGTTGCAAATTAGCTCTCCTATGACACATAGCACTAGATAATCACATTACTACCCTTATCAAGTACATAAATGACACATACAATTATTGGCTATCTGATACGTATAGACAGCTGCATCACAGAAGTTGTGGTTCTACTGTCCACTAAACCCAAACTAAGTGCCTTGTCTTCCTTGCAAACCTCTTTCTCTGCCTGCCATCCTTTCCTGCTTTAATGTGGGCAACACCTCAAAAGGATGGAGCTATTAATATTCTGTTGTATTTCTTATAGGAAAATATGGAACAAATATATAGGGACAGTATTAAAATAATGTAATTTAAAATTAGCCTAGGTGTAATTACCAATAAATCCAGTGCTGTAAGATTTGCTTTTCTCACAGTTATACTCAAAGGTGACTGAGCTGCCAATTGCTTCCTTCTAGTATCAGAAAGAAAGGAAAAATGGAGCATTGACTACAGGACTGAAAGCAAACAGCAGGAAGGAAAAGAAGTGAGAGCCACCTTAAATGATAATGGTGAAAACAAATTCATCCCAACTCACTGTGAATCTACTGCATCAGTTCTTTCTGAGAACAGAATTTGGCAAGGGGCTGGATGAAAAGAAGGATATGCCTGCAATTTCAAAGTTAAACAGTAAATTTCAGAGTCCTTCTCACAACTGCAGTCAAATCATTCATGTCTTCCCTCTAACAAGCACTAAAGGGGCCTTAGAGAAGACTTTGGAAATTCCCATCCTGAGTCACTCAGCCATGGTCACGATGGGATGTCTTGGCAGGAGGAATAAGAATGTGATAATGAACTAGACGCTTAGAACAAATGGACGAAGCCAAAGCAAGAGACACAAATTTCATTGTATCCTTAAGTTAGTATTGCTGTTCTTAAGTATAGAAAAAGCATTAAACTTTAACCAAAGTGGCCTTCACTTGCAGCTCTTCCATATGAAGGTGTACCTTACTAGCAACAGAAACAGTGTTGCATACCAGAACTTCAGTACAGTCAGGAGACTGACAGGACCCTGAGCCATACTTAAAACAGGACTATTCTGTAGTGTATTAAGAGCTACACCTTCACTAGAAGAACAGAAGAAACATTTAAACTTTGCCACTATGCTTTCTGTGGAATGTTACTTGCATGCACT